GAGAGAGAGAGAGAGAGAGAGAGAGAGAGAGAAGGGTAACATTTCTTTCGAGCAGTTAAGCCGTTATAGCCTGGGACCACAGTATACAGGTGCAAAAATCACTCAAAGACACAATATCAGAGGAAAACTATAAACTTTATTCGACACAGAAATCGGCATGAAAAACATAAGACAGGAAGTGCTCACACACAAATAATGCACTGATTTATCATAGACATCAACCACTGAAATATCTTAGGCCAAACATTTCCAGGCTCATATCTCCCTTCATAAACAATCTTAGTTATCAAACACTCATTCTTTGGACAAAACTTATCCACCTCACAGAGCAAATACACTGGGAGTTCGCTTACTTAAACCAAAATCTGCAAGACCATCAGATCTTCGGGGGGATTTGTAAGCGTTTTAGGGCACTCACAACTGCATAAGGTCGTATGAGTGTGCGGGACACATTAAGCATGGTCGTTGTTTGTTTAGAAGATGTTTTACGGCGCTCGCAACTGCATAAGGTCATATGAGCGCTAGTAGATTCAAGGAGTTAAAAGAGAGTAACAAACATAAAAAAGAAGGAGGGGAGATAAGGACAATAAATGTTTGATAGGAAAGAAGAAGCAAACCACACCAGAGCACCCGCCAACCTCCCACAAGCATTGTCAGTTGAATTTTTTATTTTGCTCGGGTGGCGGTCGAAGCCTACTCTAATCGATTTTAGATCACCAAGGGATCTTTAACGTGCACAACTTGCACACAGGACCTCCAAGATTTTAAGCCCTTGTCTGAGAAGGCTAGGAGAAGATCTTTCCTACCAGAAGATCAGGGCTGTGGCTGAAAGACAGCAGTAAGAAGATGCCAAGGAGTAGCTGTAGAAAGGCTGCAGAAAGAGTCAGGAGCCCAGAGGAGGGGGCAAAGGAGGTGAGGGGATGGGGGGCAGAATGTGGAGACGAAAGCACACGACAGAGCATTGCTAGAGAGCAGGAAGGAGGTGAACAGAGACAATTTTAGAGAAGAAAATTTTTCCGTCGCTACCCAGTTTCTAACCCAGGACCTTTGAATGAAAGGCGAACACCTTAATCTTTAGGCTACGGGAGCCCCCAGATCTTCTTCAGTTAAGAAAACAGTTAAGAATGGTTGCTCAAATAGAGTTTAAAAAATAGGGGAATTTATTTTCTTCTGGTTTATTGCAGTATTTAGAATAACAACAGTGTTCAGTTTAAGCAGACAGCACTGTATATTCTCCCAAATACTTCTTCAAATATTCACTGGAAAATGTTACCTAAAAACAGGGGAAAAAACTGAGATACTTGTCATGCTCCATTTATTCCCCACTCACACAGACACAACCATTTCACACCCATACACATATACACCCACTCACCAACATAAACACACATGCCCACTCAAACACATACACACTGACATAAATACACATGCACCCACTCACACAAACACACTCACTCATCACATACAAAAGTATACCCAGTCACTCACCCACACACACTTATACACTCCCACAAACTCACCCACTCCCATGTACCGTACACACACACACACACACACACAAGCACACCCACACACACAAAATCGCTCTCCTGCACACTTCATTCATCATCCCCACTGTAAGCCATCCACGCCATGTCGTGCGGGTTGATCATTTGTTCCAGAGCTTCCCTGCGTTGCTGCCTCGGAGCCTGCAAAATAATGACATCACTAAGGACAACGGGCTGCATGTGGACTGTCCACTCACGCACTCCATTCTCCCCACATAAACCTCACCCTGAAAATTTCTTGCAAATGTCGGCATTCTCAGAACTACAATTATATATTAGATGTCGGCATTAGACCTACAATAGAACAAGTTCAATGACAACGTCTTTTCCTTCTTTTTTATAAAAAAAATGAAGGCCCATTGACACAAACTAGATCATTCCGCATCGCTCAGCGCTTTCAGTTTGCGACAGTGAAGGGCCTAACCGCTACACAATAGAAGCCAGTACCTACTCCCCTCCTCACAAACAAAAGAGTTTCAGTGGATTGCCAACATTTGAAAAGAAATTTGCACGAGGTTAAACTGCATATGAATAGAAATAAAAAATAAAAAACTGAAATTACGATTTTTAATCTTAACCTGACTATTTACAGTTGTGCCCCTATGCCTCGGCGTAATTAAAAATGCTGTAGATAACTTAAAAACAGGACTACTTTCAAGATGTTGCTATCCCTAGCATGAGATGACTGTTTTAGTTTTAGTAAGAGTATTACAATATAGGTAATAAAAGTGCCAAAGCTTGATTAGAGGAATTACTCGAAGAGAGAGTATTATAAAAAGGAAAGAAAAAGAAGAGATAAGTACGATAGATTATACATTTGATAGGAAAGAAGGAGCAGACCACACTAGAGCACCCGCCAAAAATCCACAGCTCACAAACTGCCGAGTGATTTCTCGGGTTTTTAACAAGAGCAGCTCACCCCTTCGTCTTCGCCGACTTTTTCCCGGCCTTCTCGGCCATGGCCATGTCGCTGCGGCTGTCTGTGACCATGACCTCTTCGATGTCCTGTTGCTGGCTCGTCTTGATCGTCTTCTTGATGTTGTTCACCTGGGAACCCAGTCACGCACACATGTCATCAATATTGTTTGTTTATCGGTTGGTTTGTTTGTTTGTTTAAGTTTTAGTTTTAGTATGAGTATGCTCTCCATCTACTTCTGTCCTGGGCTCTATTGTTGGCGGCCTAATCTCAAATACAGGAAGAGAAATGATGATGATGGTGCAATGATGATGATGATTTCATTAAGGCACATAATTTCTCATGGGAATACAAGAATGATATGATAATGGGCTAGACAAAACTTTTCAGCTTTGAGGAAATGATAAGTCACAAAAGGTAAAGGTATGGTGTATATCATCCTCATTGCAAGCAATCTACTTAAGACCAAATTTTGAGAATTTTTTATTTTTACACCCTCCCAAAGCTCTATCAAAGAAACACCTTTCAACATCCCCAAAAAGCAGTTTAATATGGTCAGGGCTCACAATTTTCTTGCTTTTCGTGATTCCTGACAGGAACAACACGACAAAAACTACATTTTTGTCTCTGACGTTAAAAAGTACCGACCCGAACGGACTTAAGTGGATTGCCCGTGACATCGTCGATAATATTGTCTCTTCTCCGATTCTCAATTGCTGAATCTGGGACAGTCCCGGGAAATTACCGACAGCCGGTAACCCTGCACCTATGGCTCAGGGGAAAGAGTGCTTACCTCCTGTTCTAGAGCAGCCTTGAGCTGGTTCTGTTGCACCTTGCAGTTGTTGGCTCGGTTGATCTGTTCCTCAATACTCTTCAGTACTCCTTCACACCCGTTACACCTAGAGGGGGGGGGGGGGGGGCGTAGTAGGTTTGGGGGGGAGGCATGGGGAAGGGGGAGGAGGAAGAGACATTATCTCATAATTCTTCCATGAAGGCAACATCCTCTTCTCACCTTAAAGAAAATATGTTGCATAAAGTAAAGCATATTTGAGGTTAAGTTTAACACCCCTTTCAATATTACGAAGTTATGTAAGAAGCATGACCTCCAAATTCAACGTCAGCCATTGATAGGAAAGAACCAGTTGGGTAAAGAGCCTTGGAAACTCCACAAAATTTCAGAGTTCAGTAATGCCAGTCTGCTCCATAGTCCAGCATGGTAACAACTGAGCCAACAGAGTGTCCTAAAATGACAGTGGAAATTCTATAAATTAACCCAACATCATCGACAATAATAATAATAATAATAATAGTTATAACAATAATGATGATGATGATGATAATAATAATAATATAGTAATTATAATGATGATGACGGAGGAAGAGGTAGACAGGGCACACACTGACCACTGCTGTAGGACCACAGTGACCTCTGACAGAGCGTTCTCGTGGATGTCCCGACCGATGGCGTAGTCAATCTCCAGCTGCTGGTTTTTCTGGTCCAGCTTCCCGTGGATGATGTCAGCATAGATGACCTCGATGATCAGGTCCTGGGAACAGACACAGACATTGTGCTAACTTTAGCAGTTCATCACATAAAAAATAAGACAATGATCTCATTTTAGCAGTTCATCACACAAAAATAGACAATGATCTCACCTTAGCAGTTCATCACACAAAAATAGACAATGATCTCACTTTAGCAGTTCACCACACAAAAATAGACAATGATCTCACTAAAGCAGTTCATCACACAAAAAATAAGACAATGATCTCACTAAAGCAGTTCATCACACAAAAAATAAGACAGTGATCTCACTTAAGCAGTTCATCACACACAAGCTTATCTCGATAAAGCAGTTCATCAGCCACGAACAGATTTTGATCTAACTTTAGAAGCGCAAGTCATGCATGCACGCACCCACACACAAATCTCACTCAAGTTATTCATATCACACACCCACATTGATTTCACTAAAGTAGTTAATCACATACACAAACACATAGTTTTCACATAAGTAGATTATCACACACACGCACACACATTGTTTTCACTCAAGCAGTCCACTTCTTCTTTCTTATCAAACAACTATCGTCCTTTTCTCTTACTTCTTTCCCATAAAACATCTGTCGTTGTTATCTCTTCTCTTTTCCTATCAAACATTTGCTTTCCTTATTTTTCTGTTCTTTGTATGTCACTCTCCAGTAACACCTCTAACCTTCAGCACAGATACAAGAGCTGTACAACTTTTACGAAAAACTTAACTAAAACCATTCCCACAAAGAGCAAACAGACAAAGACACAGCAGTACTCACCTCCAGATTTCTCACATTCTCCATGGCGAGCTCCTCCAGTAGTACAGAGTACGGGATACACTGTCGTGGGTTTGGGTTTTGGGGTTTTTTTGGGTTGTTTTTTATTTGTTTTGTTTTGTTTGTTTGGGGGTTGGTGGGGTTTTTTGGGGGGGTTTTTTGTTGGGGTTTTTTTTGGGGGGTATGAGGTTATTTATTGTGTGTGTGTGTGTGTGTGTGTGTGTGTGTGTGTGTGTGTGTGTGTGTGTGTGTGTGTGTGTGTGTGTGTGTGTGTGTGTGTGTATGGAGACGGGGTGGGGGGGGCAAAAAAATAGGTTCAATTAATTGACAAGCCAGAAAATAGCACAATAATAAACCACACAACTGAAAAAAAACAAATAGTACACACAGGTGCCAGTAAAGGAAGGGTGGGGGGGTTGTGTGCTAATAAATATACTCCAGACTCAAACACATGTGTTCATATAGACTCAAGCAAGTTAATAGAAAATACAGAGGGAAAAAAAAAATGGTTTCTTATAACCACTTATGTTATTTAATTCGTAAGTATCTTCATCTTCTTCCTCCTAGATATGTATTTTCTTACTTTATTTGATATCCGATTCGTTCAAATCTTCTCCTCCTAAGACACCTACCGTCTTACCGCATCTGATTTGGTCTTTCCCAGACACACATCTGCTAACCACTCCATGACAAAAACAAAAGTTTTCTTCAAAATCCTCCAAAACAAGTATGAGTTTAGGGGAAAAAATCGTAGTCTCCAGAACCCCCCAGAAGATTAAGATTACATGGAAAATTGAAAGGGGCAAACACACATGAATACTAAATACATGCAAATAAAAATGTGTATATTTACATGCGATTCATGATAAGTAGCCGGAAATATTACCATAAAAATATCCCAAGATTGAAAATGTGTATTATCACATCATTTACAATAAGTTGCCAATGACAAATGAAGACGGATTTCAAGAAAAAAAGAATTTGATTTAATGTAAATCCTATTGGGTTCTCTGAGGGGTAAAAGAAATAAAAATCGGAGACCAAGAACTCAATTGTAGTGGTTGGCAGGTCTTCAGACACCAACCTTCTAACCCTACCCGTTCTGCTCTTTTCGTCAGACACCTACCTTGCTGCGTGTGGCCAGAGACACAACGGTCAAGTGTCTTAGCTTGGTCAGTTGTGTCTGTGTCAAGTCTGGCAGCTGAGCTTGATTGGCTGAAAAGTAACAAAAGAGTTTTCTGATCGGCTGAAAAGTAGCAGAAAAGTTTTCTGATTGGCTGAAAAGTAACAGAAGAGTTTTCAGATTGGCTGAAAAGTAGCAGAAGAGTTTTCTGGTTAGCTGAATGGTTGAAAAAAAAAACCGGAACATGTTGCTGATTATCTCAAAAGTAATAGAAGAGTTTCCCGAGAGACTTTGCAGATTGGTTGAAAAGTAACATACGGCAAAAGATTCGCAACCCAAACAAATTCAACAGAATAGAAATGTCAGTGGGAGAAATAATTCATGTTCTATTTTTTCTTAATGTTAGAAAATCGATACTTACGATAAGCGGGATGGTGGAACAAAATTGTTAGAAAATTGACACTTACAATGACTGTTAGTTTGCAAAAGTTAGGATATATATCCACAACAACGACAGACAGTAGCAGCCGTAGCCGTTTCCCACCTTTGTAATCTTTGTAGGTCCCGTAAGCAAACACTTGCAGTAGTTGGTACACGGAGGCGTGGGGTCCGGACGACAGCTGAAATTTCAAAAATAAATTTTGTTTTAATGTATGTAATTTTATACCCCCATAGACACAATTTGGATCATTTAGGAAGCTGGTTTTTGACCCTGTCTATGTGTCCAACCCGGGCTGAGAGACCCGATAATAAAAATCCTCCCCACAAGGAACGTTCTAATTTTATCAGAGTACTCTGCAGGTTTGTTTAATGATTGCGCATTATAACGATTGTAAAAGCTTGTTATGATTGTAATTAATTGTTCAAGTTTTAACCTCGCACTGCAGACAGAATTCAGATCATTTATGATTATATTTTTTTAAGAGTTGCCTCCACCCAGCCTGTCAGGATCGACGTATACCTCTTGTACATTGGGCAGGTCAAGAAACTCCCCAAACACGTAGACGTTCGGTGAGGCCATGGCTTGCGTCAGCACACTGGCGGCTCCAGCTCCCTTCGCATCTTTCAGCAGGAGAAGGAACGGCTCCATGGGGTTCCCAGATTTTTCTGCACTCATGGCTTGAAAAGAAAAAAAAAAAACAATACGAACATGTGAAACTACAGTTGAAATTGTTCTCGCCGGTCATTCATTGTCGACGAGAAAATTGGCCGTCTTTTACAAGTAGACATCTTGGACAATGAATGTCGATAAAATGGAGAAAAAAATGCAAATTGGGAAAGGGGGAAGTGGTAATTTAGACAGGTGATCATCTTGAACGGGTAGCCATTAGATTAGACCAGGTATGACTGAGTTAGTAAACATTAGCAATGGATGCATTGTAAACATTGATCATGGTAATGGTAACTTCTAGATCTAGATCTAGTCTGATGGCGATGGGTCGCAATCAATCAAGGAATCAATGTTACTGTTACTTAGACTCAGCAAGGTGAGGCTTAGGTTAGAGGATATGTAAATGTGTCCTTATTAGCCATAGGCATACTAGAGTCAAAGGCAACAGATTTGTGTGACCACACTCATGTATGAAATGTCTAAAATGAACAACCATGCCCATGCCATCATGAGACTAGAGTGGGGCTGACTCAGCAGGCAGCAGTCAGTCAAAAGAGGACTCTAGCTTGGCATAGAGTAGACTATATCATATCACTGCAACAGGTCATGTTACACAACAAGGTTAAAGTCGATATATGTTATTTTTATACATAAAACTAAAAAGATATAATCTAGATCTAGAGTGCCAGGCTAGAGTGCCAGGCTGTAGACTGTAGTAGAAAAGGAAGTATGGTACAAAACAATAATAAAAGTGAAAGTGGTGGTGATCGTCCAACAATAACAATGGCAACAACAAAGCCAACTCGATTACCAAACCTTCTTTAGATCTCCTAACCAACCTCTTGAAAGCACTACTGTTTTCGGTATAAACAAAAGTAATGTTCTCACTTCTCTGTTTTGTAGATCAGCTCTCTCCTGCTCCAGGCCTTTGGTTGTCGTGTGTTATAAGTGAGAAGTTCACTGTCAAGTGTGGCCTTCTCGGGTGAGACAGACAGCTTTAGCTAAACAAAACAAGTCTATTCACCGGAACCGGAAGCTAACAAATCTATGTCAGATTTTGTAAAGATTTACCATTCAAACTTATATCGAAGGAAAACACAATTGTATAAATTATGTATCCTTACTAAACCTGCTCTTTACAGTTCTCACAGAACTCTGCTTCAATATTGAAAGCCTAAAAAACTATAAGACATTTAGTACTAACCCCTATTGAAATATTAAGAGCTAATGCAAAGTTGAACGGACGGTTACTGAGTAGAGACAAGCTGGTATCTACAGCCGGCTTTTATTCAAGGGAAACTACTACAAAATTACATCATGATGAGGCCCTACTTTTCTTTCCCCTTTTCTTGTTGTTCATTGTGCATTGTGCATTGTATTCTTTGTTAATATTCGCAGGACGGTTTTTTAATTTTTTTTTTTAAAGTTGTCTTTTTAATAAAATCCGAAACTCAAAGTTTAGACTTTACAAAGAAATTACTGTAGTGCTCAACTGAGTCTAAATGCTCAACTGTGCAATAAGTTCAAAAGTACCGACAGAAGATACAAGTCAATATAAATTATAAATGACATGGACTAAGGAAACGAAA